TAAAATTTTATTAAAATGATTTTAATTAAAATAAAAATCATGCCGTAAGGGGTAAAGAAGTCATAACATCTGCTAGAACCCTGCCTTCCTAAAACGCCCGCTCTTACACAAAATTTGAAATTTAAAAGATATTGGCACGTGCTGAAGTTGTAATTAAAAGCGCTATCATTCAGTTCTATCTCTTTCATTTGTTCTCTCCTCCAAGGTAAAATGGCACTCTTTGGCTCCCTAGAAAATTCTCATTTTCTCGAGAAAATTTTTATTTACGGAAAAATGTGATTTTTTTTTTTTTTTTTGAGAATTCAGAAAAATTTTATTATCTGTTGCAAGAATAATGTTTGGAATCCTAATAGTGAATATATTTTTTTCAGAAGAAATCAAGAAACCGAAGGAAAAATGCCGGAGTCACGTGACAGACTTGTGAGGCCAGATGACATTGCGACCGTCTTCGCTCAGAGAAGGTCCGAAACTCTCGGAATCCTCAGAGACGAACCAGAACAGAGTTCAAATCACTTGGGATCTCCAGTCACTCGAGTGGCTAATACGACGGCGGCGCGTGGACAATCGGTAGGTGGAGGAAGAGGTGGTGGGTTGGGACCCCGAGAAGCGCGTTCGGCCGTGGAAGAAGAAATGTGTACGGACTTACATCGGCGAGACGTGGACCAATGGGAAGAGAGAATACGCCGATAGGCAGTGCTCGGAGAGGATCTTTTGTGTTGCCTGCTTGGTACCCGAGGACGCCTCTGAGGGATATTACTGCTGTTGTGAGGGTAATTTTCTTATTATCTTTATTTACTTGGACGTTTAATTTCATTTCCTATAGTGTTAGTTGGTATGTTTGTCAATCTTGGTTATGTTGCTGTGATTTGAACCGAATCTTGACTTTTAGTGTTTAAGTTTTTGGACATTTGATCATTTTTCTTATGACGGATTTTGGTAATATTCCTTAAAGCTTGGTGAATTAGGGTTTTTCTTTTTCCATTTGCTCTTGTCTGCATCTGATTCAATTTGTGTGTTTTGGATTTTAATGGGATATGTTAATCTTTTCTTTTTCATTTGATAATTATTTTGGTTTATGATGCTTGTAAATCTAGGGGAAGATTTCTATGGTGCATCTACCCTTGATTTGTCCCAGAGTTGTTGATTAATTAATTGCTATTTAGACAGTTTTGTATTATTTTGAGCATTTTTTTTATTTGTGTTAAAGATATTTATCCTTCTGATGACGTGTTATCATTGTTTTGAAGAGACTTGTTCTCTTAATCATGTGTTCTTGGTAGTGAATTAAATGACATGCTGAGTTCTTGCCTCATAAATTCTGTACATGTTAAAATTCATTTGACAAAGCTGATTATTTTCGGTTCATTTTTTTGCCACAGTGAAGTTGACTGCTTGTGCTTATTCATTATTATCAACAACAGTACAAGAATCCGAACTTTGCTCTTATAGTTTCATTTCTAAATTTGAGTTGTATGGATGTTGCTCGGTTAATTCTTTGGAGGCTGTCAGAGCATTCCCTTCAGGCCACCGTTTGGCCATGAGAATCTTCACGGTGTCCTGTGCATTCAATTGAAATGCATTCCTGTTTGATGTTCTGCATTGTTTAATCTATGCATTCAACCAATGAAACCCTGCTGGCAATCTGTTTGAAGTGCCATAGAGTCATTGTGTTTATTCATAAATGCTCGAGTCATAGATATCATTGGCCTTAACTTGAGTCAAAGTAAATTCTTTTTGCAGTTCAGTGTTATAATTCTCCTTTCCTTTTGGGGCTTTCTAAGTCCATATATAGAGATTTCTAACTCTGGCTTTTATCAGGCGATTGAAAGGAGAAGAGCTCGCTTGGGAGAAGTTGAAGGCCTACAGATGGAGAGTCCAATGTCTCGGGATCAAAGAGTAGTTGATTCCCCTAAGCCATTGTCACAATACTACAGTTCTGTCCCCAAATCCAACGTTGCATAAGAAGCATTGTTCGCTCTCTGTTGGTAAGGTGCCTAAGATTTTGCTTGATATCACAAATCAGGCTGGTGGAGAGTTAGAGTCTCTCACACCTCAGAAGAAACTTTTGAACTCAATTGACAAAGTTGAGAAAGTTGTAATGGAGGAATTGAATAAACTGAAGAGGACCCCAAGTGCTAGGAAAGCTGAGAGGGAGAAAAGAGTTCGCACATTAATGTCATTGCGGTGATTACTCTTATTTTCTCAGCAACTATATTTCGGAGACAGCAGTAGCCAGAAACTGGACAAACTAGATTGGGCCCTGCAGTGAGATTGATCATTTTCCGATGATCATTATTATCTCTTTGGACATTGGTCATCCTCTGATGATATCTTTTTTTTTTTTTTTTTTTTCTTTTTTTTCAAATTGATGTTGAAGATAGGTTCTGCTGGGTCCTGCACGGGGAGATTGATTTTAGCGGTTATCATTGTTGCTGAAGGCTTTGTGATAAGCAGGCACTTTTTGTAGCCTTCATTCTTTGAAGGTCTCAGTAGGAATTGTAGGTATTAAACTGGTCTGTCTTCATTCTTTGAAGGTCCCAGAAGGAATCGTAGGTAGTGTTATGCCGGTTTGATGTACATATAGTCCACATTGACAAATTAGTTTCTTGATATCATAAAATTTCATATATTACAATGACAAATTACTTTAGTTCTATTCAATTGAGTCTGCTTTGTGGTTTTAATTTTTACTGATTTATTAAGCTGTTTGTTAATGGTGCATGAATAGTTTTTGGTAAGTGATGTTATCTTGTATGAACTTGATGAAGTAGATAGCTTTTTCAATTTTCCGGGCTCTGTTTGCTGAAAGCATCGGTGATCATTGTGCATGTTTTTATGCTGTCTTAGTTGTTATAAGGAATGTAGCTATTTGTTTAACATCATGTTTTGTTGTTATTTATTTTAACGAAGTAATAGTGTATAACTATTGCCACAATGTCAGGGTGTTGGGCTGTCCACTCATATGTGGGTTTGGACACAAAATAGGTATGAAACAAAAGGTGTAGGAAAATGTGGACATAAGGAGGGAAAATAGTTTTTTCTTGGCTTAAGGAGTTCACTGTTCACAATCCAACGATGAAACTTCCTTTGAATTCAATGAAATTTTAGTATGTTGTTGATGATGATCTAAGCTATGTATCAAACGATTTGGATCGTCATTTCTTGTGAGGGTATTCAAACTTTCTAGTTTGATGCAATTTGTTATTACTCACTTTTGAGTGAAGAATTTTGTTGATGGTATGCCTCTAGTTTCTCTAGAGAAATTTTGTTGTAACCTATTATTTAATCTGTGGAAGTTTTTGTGTAGGAAGGTATAATCACCTTGTGCTTTGTTTAACCCGTTTGGTGATATATCACAATTTGTGTAGCAAAGATAATTTCTAAATTTAGAATTTGTCAATTTATATCTGTTTCAAATAATTTGTCCAAGTGCAGCAGTAGCTTTCCATATATAATACTCTGTGGATTCTGTCTCCCCATATCCTGTCAAAACCAAGACTATGTCCTGGAAGATTTGACTTGGAAACGTCAAGTTTAAGCCACTAGAATTTTTATTTATCATAAAAAGAACGAGGCATAAATACTAGGGCTGTGCAAAATCGGGTATCCGAATCGGTTTTGTCTGAAAAACCAGGTACCCGAATAAAAGGGTACCCGCAAACCAAACCACTTGTAAAGGTACCTGATTTTTCGGGTACCTGAATATTCGGGTCAAAAACCATATACCTGGTTTATGACCCGAATTTGCATAACTTTGCATGAATTTTAATTTTTTACATTTCAAATTTCAATTTGTGAATACAATTCCTTCCATATACTAAATCAACTTTTAATTTAATAACTTAAATACTTAAGATTTGGGGCTTTTGCTTTTTGCTCTTTGAAAGTTCAAGGAAAATAAGTTTAAAAACTAGGTTTTTTTTTTTTTTTTATTTCTTAATAAACTAGGATAATAATAATCCTAATATTAAAGTTATTTCCACATACATTAGGTGAAATAAAATTGTAAATAAAATTTTATAAATTTATTAGTAAAAACAAGGAAAAAATGAATGATAAAATTAACATAAAAGAAAAATGAATGGAAGCACTTCATTTGAATAGGTAGTACTACACTTACAACTCAGTTTTACAAACTTTGTTTAACAAATCTGATGTGGTAACTTGTTATTAGTTTCTACTGAATTTTCTCGTATAACTAATTATGAACTATTACGCTAGAGTTGTAAGAGAGAGTTTATAAGATTAAATTGTAAGCCACTCAGTCTAAGAATTAATCTTTTTTGGGAGGAGCGGTCATCCTTTTGTTATGCTTCGGATCAAGTACCGGTAGTGCATCCCCTCGACACTTGGTTGCTGGATTGCATCCTCTTTGGTATCGATTAGCAGGTGTTTCTTTACATCCTTGGGGAGATTTTGGGCCACAAGGAACAGTATCCCCTTTATTAATGGGTAGATACCCGATATTGTTTCCCTCCGTATCTCTCACCAAGAATGACCAAGTTAGAAGAACGCAAAGCATGATGATCACCACCCTCTTCAAGTTCGACATCTTCTTTCTATTTGATAATGGTTAAAGATTATTGGGAGCTAACTTTTTATATAAGCACAAGTACTACTACTGCCTATTTATATTGTTTTATTGTTTTCCAATTTAAGTTAAATAAATCAAAACTTTCAATTCACTGACGAAATGTACGTGAGGTTGTTATTGAATATTTCAGTTCCCGAGTCCTATGTATGCTAAACATAGGTATCTTCATTTCTTTACTCTTAAATTTTTGTTATTATGAGGTTTGTTTTTCTGATGCCTGCATGAAATTATTAAAAATTAAAGAAAACTTGATTAAAAATTTAATTTCCTCATATCCATCTACCTTAATTTCTAAAAACAAGAATGTCCCCTTGGCAACAGAGTCCCACATTTGCTTTCTAAAAGAGTAAAAATTTTAGCAGTGTTATAAGGAGAATGAATTTATTTATGCTTGGGAAGTATTTGAAACAAATTAATTAAACATTACAAATGTTATGTCATTATACAAGATCAATTTCCATCCATTTCCTCATCTGAAGAAACGAAGGGCTTTGGAGGAATCTCCAAGCTCTTGAACTCACCTTCTAGCATTTGTAATACCATTGACATGGAAGGCCTCTCTGCTGGGTTCCACTGGATGCACCAGAGTCCGACAATTGCAAGCTGCTTGACAATTTTCTCGTCTCCATCTACCTCAATTTCTAAAGCAACCTCGTTTCCTTGGCTCATTTTATTATATATCCACTCAGGGAAGTAAATTTGGCTTTGATTTTCAATTGAATGATCAATATTCTTTTGGCATCCAACCATCTCTAATAACACCATTTCGTAGCTAAAAACATCAGACTTATAGGAAACCTCTCCAAAGTTCCTAGAGAAGAGCTCGGGAGCAATATAACCAGTAGTTCCTCGAGCAGCTGTCATTGATATTACACTTTGTTCCTTTGAGCATAGTTTGGCCAGCCCAAAATCTGAAATCTTTGGCTGAAAATTATGGTCAAGTAATATATTGTCAGGCTTGATGTCGAAGTGAAGGATCCTTTGGTTGCATCCTTGGTGCAAGTACTCTATTCCCCAAGCAACACCAATTGCAATCTCTCACAACTTTTCCCAATTCAATTGACGTTGACTTGAATTGTTTATACTTGAGAATATGAACTTCTCAAGTGATCCATTAGACATAAACTCGTAAATAAGAGCACACCGAACCCCTTCTGAATAAAATCCCAAAAGACGATCAATGTTAAAATCGTGAATCCTACCTATAGTAGCAACTTCATTGATAAATTCTTCACCATTTCCTGTTGAATGTTCCAACATCTTAACAGCAACTGGAATTCCATTGGCGAGTTCTCCTTTGAAGACACATCCATAACCTCCTTGGCCTAGCCTGTGCCTAAATCTACCAGTTATTTTCTTCAGGTCACTGTAAGTATATCTGGTCGGGGTGAGGGTCCTATAGTCTTCGAGGAACTTCTCTATTTTCAGTTGAGTTTCTCCTTCCTTTTCAGATCTCCTAGATCTGTAAAGAAGAAGTATTACCAATGCAAAGAAGACAATGCCTCCAACACTCGTGGCTGTAGACACTGCAATTTTAACTAGACGACCATGACCATGATAATCTGCATGACCAAAGAAAAATTCTTAACTTGGTTGAGCAATAAGATCAATTAGATACATCCCAAATTTCAAACCAAAATATGGAGGGGGCTTGACGCAAGCAGGATTCACATCCTTAATGTACAGCTAGAAGATGAACAGAAAAGAAAATTTTCTCAGAAATTTCCTCAGGAGTCTAATGTACAATCAAGAGCCCCGGAATTTTCTTTACTGACAACAAATATTTATCCTAATTAATCAGCTACAGAAACGACTTTAAAACTTATCAGTAAGCTACCTACAAATACAATCAAGTGCGCCGGAAAACATACTGTAAATAATCAAAAGCAGAGAGACAAAAATTTGGAAAGAATTAAGTAATTTCATTTTACTTTCAGAAAGCTAAATGGTGACTTACGTTGGTTTATGACACAGATCGTTGAATTGCTTGTAGTGTTGAAGCCACAGTAGTTCCCTGATTTTTCGCAGTCGTAGCATCCATCAAGGGCTTCCCATTCTATAACTATCTTTTTAGTTTGATTATTTTGATACCAAAACTCAATCGAAATGTTAACAGTTTTATACATACTGCAAACTGGGGGCCTCGAGTCGACTGACCGGTCATATGTCATGCCATAAACAAAACCTTGTTCATCACTGATGCAATCAAATGGTCCTAGTGCAGAATTCCATATAATCTTCGTAGAACAATTCCACAAAGCGTACATCTGATTGTAGTAACTATAAAGGAGGGAGAATTTGGAGTCTGTGAGGTTAAGAGAGAGAAGACTCTGTATTCGGCATGTGGTGTCATTCATATCCATAATACAACATTTTCATACAACATTTTTCATACAACATTATGTGGCAAGATATGATTGGCTAATTTAAAGTTAAAATTAAACTTTCACCCAATCACATCTTGTCACATAATGTTGTATGAGAAATGTTGTATGAAAATGATGTATGTGTAATATTATTCTATCCATAATGGTTATACTTCTGTCCAGATAAGAAATGTCTTCCACATAGTAACCGCTGGAAAAGGGAAGATGCAACATTGTCTTGTTACTTGAGCATGACACTTCAAACCCTTCAAGACCGCAAGAGATTGGTTGAGTTTTGAGCCTAAAGGGAAATCTGATTTGTGGGCCGTTTTCGCTGCAATTTGTTGGCTGACAGAATTGATATATATTTTCATCACTGCTTACAACTGAAGTGTTTTAGGCTATTGAGTAAGGCAAGAGAAGGAAGAATATAATAAACGGAACAAGAGACATGAAGGGAAACAGAGAAAGTAGAGTGCTTGGCTGTCTTGTCTTGGTTTAATAAAAGCAGTCTCCAATGGCCATTTTAAAAATATGGTTTAGACCACCAACTACAAAATAATAGCAGTCTCTTTTGGAATGACAAAGACCACCAGCTGGTGCGGGGTACGGGAAGCCAAATTTGACCTTAGCTTCTATTATTTATATTTCCATATTTTTATAATAAAAAGTATTGGATCTCACCTCTTCTTCCTCCTTTTTCTCATGCCCACAATTTCTGTTATAATTAGATCTCACCTCGCGTTGCCTGCAATGAGGCAAGCTCTAACCTCAGTGACAGCGATGAGGCCAATAATGGATCGTGTTAGAATACAATATTTGTTATCAAGGACTATGGATAGTCAACCAAAACATTTTGATCATTTCATAGCTCATAAGCAATTACTTTTCACATAATTACAATTATTGAGTATCGGTGAATATATACTCACTTCTATACAATTACATTTGTCAAAAAGAAACTTATTATGAGTCAGTATTGTTGTATGAATATTCTTCCTGTTGATGCGTGATTTTGACACCAACTAATCGACACGTGCGTAACGTTGTGTTGACCAAGAGACACACGTGATTATGGGTAGTACGTAGAGTAAATGCAATGATGAGAGCTTTTTAAAGTAGTTCGGATGCTAAGGTAGCAAGTCCTACGTCCACTGATAGTTGTATTAGTATTGTGGGTCAGGTCGCAACAGCAGACTGACTTACAAATGATTAGGGAAAAGTAAATACAAAGGTATAAGAGAGAGAGAGAAAGCTAGTTCAGAGTGTAAAATGGCCGAATCCCCTCAATGAAGGGGTCTTCTTTCTTCTTTTTATAGTGAGATGAGTGCAAATAATCATCATTAAATCCATGGGTTGGTGTGAATGTCAGGACAAAATCCGGCTTTACGTCACATTGCCCACCTTCCAAGCTGATTTCACGCAATTTTGAGCAGGGAATGAACACGTGGGAGCTCCACAGCGTCTGGCAGGCCTGACGTGCGCTTACCGTTCTGATGGGAGCAGGTCATGCTCCATCACATGATTTCCCACGTCAACCCTTGATTTCCCAGGCATAACAGAAGTCCCCTAGTTTTTAAGGTTTGAGGATCGAACCTTGGAAACTAAGTCATGCCGCGATTGGAGGTTCTGATAATTCCGACCTGAATGGAAGAAGCTCGGGATATGGCCTTTTGCGAACGCGACCTCGCACAAACCTCGCCCAAATGACCTGACAGCCATCACCCAAGCGACCTGACTTCATCGGGCGTTCCTTACCATGCCTTAGGGTTAGAGATTCAATGAAGCCGTTTCTGCGCTGACAGGTACTCCGCGCGTGTTAAGCGTCTGTTAGGCGCATTAAATGCGCTGTGTGCTGATGCATTGTTGTTTTGACAGAGCATTAATTGCACGACACACTCGAAACAACAACCTTCATCACAACATTAAATGCAGCGTGGGGCGCATTTAATGCGGAGAGAGAGAAAGGCGTCGTTTCGATTCCGAAGGGTGGTAAACGTCAGTTCATAGTCCATACAAAAGCCCAAATTTTTCAGATGATGCCACCAGAATCCCTTTTGCCTCGAGCGAAAAATCTTTGCAAACTGAAAGTTCTTCTTTTCCGATTGGCATCTCTCCGATATCTGAAACAAGAACCGTCCTCGGTCACGCCCCCCAGAAGGTAAGGTTTCTCTTTTTCTTTTCTTTTTTTTCTTTTTTTTTGGGGGTGCAATGGCGTTGGGTCTCTTGGTGTTTCATCAGAGATGTGACGCTGGAGTCGGGTTCGAGCCGTGTATGGCGGCTCAAGGCACTGTTAGAATCTAGGGAATTTGTTTCATGCCGCCGTACGGGGCAACGTACAATGGCTAAAATGACCTTCTATCTGTCGGTGTTGCAGACTGTGGAATGGAACCTTCAGCGTCCAGATCCGAGGAAGGAGCCGTTCGTCTTCGCGGGATGTTCTCGCGGATGCATCCCTTGATGTCTTCTCGGTTCTCACCCGAGAAGAGTTCGAGAGGATAAAGAGACAGTTCGACATCCGCGCGGAGGTGTTCCTCGACGCCACCCGATCGCCGCGGCATCCTTTCGATGGCCTAGCTGCGATCTCCGAAGAGATCTTCAAGGGTGGGGGGATGATTCCTTTCCACCCTTTTATTAGGTCGGTCCTGGATCACTTTGGGATCGCACCAATGCAGTTGACGCCAAACGCGTATGTCATTGCTGTTGCGATGTACATCGCGTGCCGCAAGAGCGGCTTAGGCGAGCTAACTGCTGTGGAGCTCGGCGTCGCGTATTTCCTAAAAAAGAGTAAGGACAAGGACTCTTATTACTTGTCCCAGTGACCTACCATCGCCGAAGGGATACATAGCTATCCCAGCAACGCGGGGGCTTATGAGACGAAGTTCTTCTTCTTCTGCTACGACGGCCACTACGCTTTCAGAAACCAAGTAAGTTCTTCTTCGCTAGATTCATTAATTATGCGCTTCCTTTTTCTAACAACCTGCATTCTTTTGCAGTTAACAAGACGACCAGCCAAGACCTACTCACCGACCCAGACAGGCTCGTGTCTTTTGGGGTCCTCCCCGAGGAAAGCTGGGGCGTGAGGAAGCTCGTGATGATCGCGAACTTACGAAAGTATGATTTTTTTAGTGACAACGCGTCTTTAGAGTCCCCAGAATGTAAGTTACACTGATTCCCTTCTGGTCGTAGAATAATTTTTGTTTAGTTACTAACTTACTTGCATGCAGCGACCATGCCTCTGAAAGAATCCGAGCAGCCCCGGCGAGCGCCATTTAACTTCCCTCGATCGAGGAGGGCCAGGGCAGCCAAAGCTGCTCCCCCCACAGTGGCGCAACTGGTGCTAACTGTCCTGCCTCCCCAGCCCCGTCCTGAGGAAGAAACGACTAGGACAGAACAGATCGCTCAGCCATCGCCTGCACGCCCGAGGCGGAAGACAATGGCTCAGCGGTCGAAGAAGAGGAAGCAGATTCAGGTCGACAAGTCAGAGACCGAATCTGAGGATGAACCCCTGAGGTCGCGACGGGACGTCGGAAGAAGGTCGGGCAAGGAACCTGCAGACGAGACGGTGGTTGTCGACAAGGCGAAGGACGCACCAGTGTTGGACGCGCTGGGGAACCTGCCTGAATACCTGCAGCTGATAGTCTACTCTCTATTTGAGTGTGGGCTATTGGAGTCATACGATCAGTTCGCCGATACGGGCGATGTTGACCTGATGACTACGTCGTTTCAGCATTTAAGCAAGGTAAACGAACTGTCCTTGAAGAATGTCTGCCATTTTCGTTTTAACTCTTTTTTGCTCGCAGGCTCTGCTCGCCATGAGAATGTCCCTGGAGAAGGCTCGGTTGGGAGCCGCGAAAAGGGTAAATGATCTGAAAGAGGAGATCGCGAAGCTCAAATAGAGCCTGGAGGACGTCGATGCGGAAAGAGCGCTATCTGCTGAGGTAGCGAATAGATACCTGAACCAAAAGTCGGTCGCTATGTGTACAGTCGACTTTCAAAAGACGGAGCTTGAGCGACGCGCTGAGGAAATAAAAGAGCTTCAGAGGACAACCGCTAGACTCTCCAAGGAGGTCGAAGAGAAGGACCAGGAGCTCCGAACGACCTTAATACGGGCTCAGCGAGCAGAACAAGAAAGGGAGGCCTCCGAAAAGGGAAGGCTGGATCTTGAGGCTGAACTCCAGGAGAGTCGGGGAAAAGTTGCTTCCCTGACTGAAGAAATGCGGATCCAGTCAGAGGAGGTCGAGGATAAGGCCGTCGACTGGGCGATCGGGTCCATCTATGCCCTGCGACCAAAGAACCCAGATCTGGATATGTCTGACCTCCCGACGGAGTGGCAGGAAGCCTTGCAAACTTTGGCGATGGAAGATGATTAAGCAGCAGCGATAGCTTGAGGATCCGACCAGGCAGGGGGCTCGGATTCTGCCCCAAAGAATCATCCCACCGACCAGGCATAATGCGATGAGACTGACTCTAGGAATTAATAGGGTCTAACAGTTTTTGTTGTACATAAATGGAATATATTTTGCTTTCAATTGCTGTTCGCTTGATCACACATGAGTGCAGTTTACAATTCAGTTTGTTTACATAGGCAATATTACACGCGAATTGTTACAAGCGAACAGAATAAATGTGAATTGTTGCAAGCGAACAGAATAATACTTTACAATAAAAAGGGAACTAACAAAATCAAGAACTAATTTACAATGAGAGCTGAGTTTGGGATTACTGATAGTATGGCTGGAGGTGTTCGGCATTCCAAGCTCGGGGTACTTTGGAATCGTTCAGCCTTTTGAGATGGTTAAGTCCCCGGTCTGATCACCTTGTTGATTAGGTACGGACCTTCCCAGTTGGGTCCTAGTACCCTCACACTTGGCTCCCTGGTTCCGAGGAGAAATTCTTTTAACACAAGGTCACCAACTTGGAAGTCTCTTTGCCTGACCTTTGAATCGAAGAACCTCTTCGCACATTGCTGGTAGGCTGCTATCCTTAGCGAAGCC